TTCAACATGGCGGACTCTGCCACTAGAGGACCCGCTCCCTCTGTAGATAAAAACATCTCATTCTAAGGTAACAAAAACAAAATCATTCTTATATTCAGGTGATTAAACACTAATGAAAACATACATATGAAGATGACAATAGATCCTCCTAAATGTTACACACTGGACCTTTAAAAATGTCTAAGATAGTTATTGACTTCAAAAAATCTTCTTCTTCTTCTCTCCTAAAATCTGAAGTTAATTAATAGCTAAATACTGGAGCTCTTTTACGCTACAACAGGAAGACCTCTCTTTGTGCCGACTTGCGAGCCTTAACACATTATGATATGAGAGTCTCTCCCATTGTTGGCCTCACAGTCCCACCAGATAAAAAGCCTAAATTATATTTTCTTTTAAGCTGTTGTACATGTATAGAGCAGTTTCTTAACAAGTGAGACCAGATAAAAACATTTGCTCTGCAGCCATTTTGTCACCAGCTTGTTGACACTTGGAGATGTTAAACTTTAGCTGTCAGGTATTTGCAAGATCTCCGACTGAATCACAACCAGGAGATTATTTTCCGGCTCATAATTACGGTCTGACAGCAATCTGGCATTAGTGTCAAATTTGATCACTGTTCACTTGAGGGGATATTAGGGCTTAAAATGTTAGCGTGTTCGGCTTAAAGTGTTTTGGGTATTATGTTAGTTCGATAACACAGTCACTGTCAGCCATCACTGCTGCAATTTCCTGTCCTCTTTTCTCCCCTTTGAAGGATATTTGGACTGTCTGGCTCTACAGTGGCAGGCGGGAGGTAAACCCAACATTAACGCTGAACCTCTTCAGCATCTTTAATTTGAAACTGTGATTCAACACATTCAGTACCTTCGTTAATACCACCAACGGGATGACACTCACCATTACTGGGAAGATGATGGCGAGGAAGGTGGACTTCAGGATCCAGAGGACGGCCAAACACACGATCTGGACGAGGGTGAAAAGATGGACGCGTCTCAGCGGGACGTGACGCAGGAAGGAGAAGTCTGGCTGGTGTTTGGGTGGCATCAGATACAACTTGATCCGCTCCCAGAACTGAAACAAAAAGATATTGAACTTGATCTCAGCAGCTTTTACTAGTAAATTTAAGTGAAACACAAAATGGAGTTAGTTGTAACTATTAAATCAGTTTCAACATTTAATTGAGTTAAATGAACATATCTGGTTTTACAGTGTAAGTCTTTATGTAGATTGTTTATATTAGTAGATATTGGCTGATATATTGTTATCAGTTTTTTTCAAATAATAGCAATAATATAGGTATTGACTTCAAAAAACTGTTATCTAACTAATTATAAATACAGTAGATGCCTCTTATTTCCTGAGCTAAAGTACATTTTTATATTCTATTCTCAGTATTTTGTTGATTAAAAAGATGACCATTCACAGTCAGAACTGTTGTTTTGTACCAGTAAATGACATTTTTAGGGGCCCATTGAGAAACTCTTCCCGTAAGTACCTGGATGCCACTCAGTGAGGCCACTCCCATGTAAAGGAAGACTCCGTACAGCACCGGCATGGGGATATACTGAATTAAACAGAACAGCAGTTAAAATACAACATTACAGGAGAAGTGTGAAGTAAATAAAAAAAGAAACATAATCTTCCTTCTTCATGCATCTGCTCACGTACCTGGAGAATCGGAGCGAGGAAAATTGAGAGCCCGGTAAGAACGAACACCAGGATACCCGTCAACCTCTGCTCCCTGCAAATGAAGAATCATGAAGCATTAAATGCATACGGCAATGAAAGATTCACACACGCAGCGTCAGGGTGGTCTTACCTGACTCCGAGGAACTGTGGCTGCTCTCCAGGAGCGCTGGACTCACTCTCCATCTTCAGAGAGTCGATGTGTGCGATGGAGATGACAGTGGCTGCTACGTACCAGGGCAGACCCATGAAGGAGCACACAGCCATCAGCACGCCCACCCAGAACAGGTCCAAGTGGTAGCCGCAACCCTTCTGCAAATTGGGAACAGGAAGTGACAAATCACTTAAGTCCAACTGTGATTGTGAGGCTGAACAATTGTAAAACATTGGATTGGACCAATATAGATATTTAAGTTTAGATGAAACAGGAATACAAGAGAAAATCAGACAATATTCTCTCCATAAAATATGACCCAGTTTCACCCAAATCACTGATAAAGTTGTGTGTTTGTACAGTAATCAGTGAGCCCCACCCCCCAAAACTATGGTGGCCATGCATCATCTAGTTCCAGTGTTTGGTTTGTCCGTTCTGGGCTACTGTAGAAACATGGCAGTTTAACATGGCGGACTCCACCAGAAGAGGATCCGTTCCCTCTGTAGATAAAAACGTCTCATTCTAAGGTAACAAACACAATGATTCTTACTCTCAGCTGATAATACACTAGTGAAAACATACATATAAATATTATATTTCTGACAATAGATCCTCCTCAATGTTACACACTGGACTTTAAATAAACTCACTTATTAAGATATTACATTAGTTATATACTTAAAATTAGACAATATTCATACATTTATATTTACTGATAACAGCTCGTTGGCCAGTTAAGAAAATACTGACGACCTTTCTGGTGAGTCACATCTAAAAATAATTCAATATCTGCTGTTGTCAAATTTAAATTGTGTTTCATGTAAAATAAAATAATTATTCGTGTTCATGCCTTTAGGTTTGTGTATTTTTGAGCTCTATCATCTCCTCTGTGTGTTTCAGACCTTCAGTTTGTTTTCTTTGCGGTTGACGATGACGGCGCTGATCTGTTGGTCCATGAAGATGAGGATGGTGACCAGGAGAGCGGGAACGAAGCTGGCCACATACCACCACCAGGGGTTCTTACCAAACGGCATCACCAACCAGCCACGGTCGGAACGCGTGGGCTGATCACACACACACACACAATAATTAAACATCAATATATGTTACAGGTGAACAGATGAGAAGGTGAAACATCTACATTGATAACAGTGACGCTTTCTAGCATGCAGTGGTGGAAAAGGCAGTAAAGTCATTATTATTTATTATTATTACTATTTTATATACACACCATATACATACCTTTATATAATACAGAATATATATGAATACATATTATATAATATTGTTATAATAATAACAAATAATATAAATTGAAATTGGGGGTGTTGAAGAAAAATTTAGATCTTATCCTGATATTGTCTTTCCTGTTTCGTGATTAATTCTCTACCTAATAATGATGTAATGAGACAAACTGTTTTACATTGATTAAAAACCTTTTGTTCCTTTGTGAGGAGAGCACAGCTGTGATTTGGGCAAACTATATAAATTGTCTTCAGGATCGAGATCAGAGAAGCTTCAGTAAAGACTCTTCAATCTGGAACCTGAGGGAAGTTTTTTTTAAGCCGAAAACTGTTGTGAACCACTGGTTTAATTTTTAACAATACATTGTATTTAACAAATGTTCAACAATTGAATGTTAAATTTTAATCTGAAAAATAACTAACTAAAGCGTAGAAGTATAAAGTAGCAGACAAAAGAAGAAGCTTAAACTTTTTAATGCACTGACCCTTTTCTACCATTGAGTAAATTCTGACCAATATTCATATTATATTCAATGTATAAAAATAACAGTCGAGAACAACTGATAAACTGTACAATACACCCAAACAGTGAACACAATAACTGCAGGAAGTTTGTGTAAAATTAGGGATATTGATGAATTGATCAGAGATGAGTTTTCCGGATATTTTTAGGTATTTGTTTATACAATTCTGTCCATTTTTGGTCCGAAAAATAACATTTTTATTTAGTTTTCTTCACAGAAATCAGCAAAATGCTGAGATATAGGTCTACTTGGTATATACGGTTCTTACACCTGGTAAAATCAATAAGGCCTTGCGACCCCCTGTGGAGCTTTGGAGACCCCTAGTGGGGGTCCTGACCCCCAGGTTGGGAAACCACTGTTTTAATGCCCGAATAGAAGGAACTGGTGTGATTACATTTCACTGTGACTCATTACATGTGACCAATATACTACATTGATTCACTGTTCTCATCAATATCATTCCACCAGTGCTAGCATGCACGCAGAAACACACACACACATACATCAAACACATCTTTTACACAGAAATCAAATACCTTGAACTCAGTTGGAACGATTAGTTTGGGTGTGTCTAACCCCATCAACATATCCAGGCCCACAAAGCACATGATTGACATGAAGATGGAAAAATCACTGATTAGCTTCCTCAGCTACACACACACACACACACAGACACACACAGGGAGACAGAGGGAGGATACATACAGAGGTGAGGAGGAGACAACATATGTAAAAGTACAAGAAAAAGGTGCCAACATGAGGAAATGAAGACAGGAAAAAGAAGAAAGAATCATTACATTGATGAATCATTGATTAATAAATATACACACTACATCCTCTACAGGAAAGAAAAGCATCCAAGCGGTGACGTAAAGAAGTTGAGGAGAAGATGAAGCTGGTATTTAAGAGCGGACCTTGATCTCAGTGGGAACGTGCAGTTTGGGGGTGTCCAGCTCCAGCAGGCCATCCAGTCCACAGAAGACCAGGATAGAAATGATGATGGCGAAATCACTGACGAGGGAACGGAGCTGGAGCACATTCAGGGAGAGCAGAGGAGAAGAGAGCATGGGGGAGAACACTCTGGGGCAGATATGGAGGTTTACAGGTGGTTTGGGTAAGGAGGAGGTAAGAGATGACTGCTAATGACAGTCTGTTTATTTTTTAAAAACTGGTGCAGATTTAAAGGATGAAGCTGGTGTTCAATGTTATTTTTATCGTCAACAAATCCCATGAAAGAAACTTCAGAAAAAGTGTCGAATAGAACATAGTGGGATTGTGAGGTTGAGTACTTTGTATTTAGTGCTAATTAGTGAATGTAAGAACGCTAACTCATTATAGATGCTAAAGCACGTTAGCTACAAGGTTGCTATCAGCATGTTAGCATTGTCATTCCGAAACCCCTAAAAATGTCCATTTATCCAATAGCCATGTTATTCCGGAAACAAATTCCCATTGCTCCGAAGGCCCGTTGTTCCAAACAAACTCTGGTATCACCAACTTTAAATACGTAACTTAACTTAACTTACAAAACATAATGAAAGTACTTATTTTAACCCAAACCATTGACCTTTTCCTAAACCTAACCAAGTAGTTTTGGTGCCTGAACCGAACCAAACTGCGGCCGTTTCACAACCACAGGTTTGTGACCATGAAAAACTCTGGGGACAGCGTATAACCTGTGAAAAAATGGGCCTTTGGAGCACCGAGCTTTCAGTCCAATTTGGACATTGTCAGAATATTTGGGGTTTCGGAGTAATGGGCCGTCCAGGAGTGTGTATCGAGTTCTATTTAGAAACACATATTTCCTTCCTCCAATCATTACATCAGTGGCTCTAATGGCTTCAGAAGCCAAAAGGAGTTTACACCATAAAAAAAAAACCTCTCACCAGCCTCATCCTCTATACTGGATTGCTTTCATGCTTTGATAAATATCTCCCATACTCTAAGAAGCTAGCACTTCACATGCAGGTTGACTGTTTACAGGTAGAACAGCATCAGAGCCACTGTGGGGAAACAATACAAGCCTCTGGATCGTCCCTGCTGTCTTACCTTTGTCGGAAAGTAGCGGCTGAACTTGAACTTCTTGAGGGAAACAGTCATGGAGTAGGTGCCAAAGAAGAGGATGAAGGACATGAGGGCCAGGTCGGGAACATACTTACAGGAGCTCCCCACCAGCGCACCGCCATACTTCACACACTCTTTCTTACTCAGCTGACTCCAGTCCAGGTCTGTCAAGTTAAACTACAGAGACAGGACAAGGGAGGATGAGGGGCAACAGGGTGGGATCGTGGGTTGAAGATGGAGGGGTGGGAAAGGGCAGAGAAGGGGAAACCGAAGGAATGGGAGAAGCAGCAGACACGAAAGAGAGAAAAAACAAGCGATAACACAAGAAAAGAGAATACAGAGCCACGGTGCTCTGTAACCGTCCGCCCTAGAAAATCAATGCTGGAAATCGCTGATTTTCCGCAGAGGATTACTCCAGAAAGAGAGAGCATGACGCCATCGTTTCATTGAGAGCCAGAAAATATAAATAGAATAGAAGCGGGATGGAAATTTCACCAAAACAACTTCATAAAAAACAGTAAAACAAGCACATTAAATGTCAAATTACGCATTGTCAGTGAAACACTTAAATTAATAGGCCCAGGCTTTTTATTTGCTTCAAACACTGAACTCAACCTGCCTTTATCCCACGAACAAACGGAGGTGCTTAAGTGTAACTTTCACAAGGATACAGAAAAGATTAATGTGATTGATGTTTCCGGTCTTTCTGTCACTTACCAGCAGAGTCATGTTATCATCTGCGAGTGGAGCTGAAACATTCAAGCCCAGCGCAGATGCTAAAGAGAGAAAACACAAACAGGGAAAGAGAGGAAACGCAATGAATGATGGGTAACATTACAGGTAAAAACCCAGTTTTTGATACGAATAAACTAGGATTAACTAGAATATCTAATTCCTATTGATGTGAAGGGAGTGTTTTGAAGAACAAGCCACTATACGGCCATTCATTGATGAACGCTGATAAGGACAAAGAGAAAATGTGACTCTGGTAAAGCTGTTCCACAATGGATTCCAGTGATCAACCCAAATTCTTAATAGCACTGATTTTGTCCTCTGTGAAAGAACCTTAAAGGCCCTGAAAACATATTTTCTCTATCAGCTTCTTACTATTAGAGGTGGGGTCCGCCATAACCACACAATATTCTAGCCAACTTTCACATAGTGGATGTTTTCTAGGCATATATAGGTTGTTGGTAGAGGATACTCTTACTTAAATGTTCAGACATGCTCTAGCAGGGTCTACAGGTGCATACTCACTTTTTCAGAAAGCATCCAAAAATGAGGCAGAAACAGACAGAATACACAAATCATCACAGAGTAAAAATGTGCATTTAATTACACTGAAATGTCGTTATTAACACAAAGAATGAATGAAGACCTAGTGTTGTCTTGCTAATATTTTATTCTAATAATTTCCTAATTATAGATTACATCACGTCATTAAAATAATAAATAAATAACCACGTCCTGACTCAAGCTCTGTATTTAACGCACAGACACGAGATTGATTGATATCCATGTTTTCATCTCAAATAGAAGGCATATTTACTAAAATGTTAAAGCTTTTTTATAGTAGCTAAAAAATGTTTGCTCCATCTCTAAATATTTCATTTATTCCAGTAACCATTTACAAACATTTTTGGTGAGGAATAATTATTATCCCACTAATATGATGCTCTTAAATATGGTCATATTTTGCTTAAAGGACTCAGGACATGTAAAGAAAAGAAAAAAGAGGACTCACCCTGGTCTGGCGCGATGCATTCACACTTATAGGCAGTGATGTAGTCGGGCTTGAAGCCACGGTTGATTGGGTAATACTTCCATGCTCCTACCTGTGAAAAACAAACCAGTTGTATCCTGTGTTAAGTGTTGTTGCTGTAGATCTGAACATTAGGTGTTCAACCAACCACGCGGCAACCTTTGTGGCTGCAAACGAAGCACAGAAGTAACCTAAACTGCCGTTCCCCTAACGACCACTAGAAGCTGGCTCCAGCAGTGAGTCAATCTCCATAAGGCCCCATATTAAACTGTCCAACTTTACAGCAGAAATAAACATGTTTACAGCCTTTTGGTCTCTGTAGATAATTTCCCCCTTAATGACAACTGTACATGGGTGAATATTTACATAACTCACCTGTTTAAATTATATTAAGGCTTAAAGTTAAGCATAATTAAGTGTGTGGCAGCTTTGAGTCTCATGTGGCTGTTTGCAGTAACCATGCTTCATTCAGCCTCAGCTCCACCCACACTTATTAGCTAATTTTTGTATTACCCGGTAGCTCAAGCTTGGAGTCAAGACTTCCAAGAGGGCAACGGCCAGAAAACCCCTGTGGGAGACGTCACAAACACTATGACCGTTTTTTAAATATACAGTCTATGATGACAACATGTCACCTACCATCTTCTTAATGGCATCAGAGATGAATATAAAGGAGATGAGGCTGGAGAAACCCTCCTCTGTGAAGCGGGTCATGTACTTGATAATGTAGCTGGCGTCCGTGACGACAAGCAAGAAACACTGCAGACACGAGTGAAGGCCGATCCACAGACGCAGCTCCATGTAGTCTATATCATTGTTCCTGTGAAGAGAGAAAGTGCTGACATCGCCTCTCATCTGGTTTGTCTGCACTGTACACATCTGCGTGCTTTTACTCACTTGCTGAATTCGTAAAGCAGTTTCTCGAAGATGAGAATGGGTCCAGTTGAGCTGAGGATGATGAGAGGCTGCCCACCAAACACACAGAAGACAGTCCCTGCTAAAGCGGTGCCAAGGAAACTCTCCATCACTCCCTTGGAGAAGAGAGGGGACATACAGAGACAGAACACATATAGTCAGATATGGTTGTAGCTGGATGGTTTCTGGATTGGTTCGTTATGTTGCAGCCTTTATGAAGACCTGGTAATTGTCTGTAGCATCCCCTAGCAGTCCTCCAAAGGTGATGGCATTGGTGATGCAGCCCAGGTAGATGAAGAGCACAGCAGAAATAGACTGGATATGGAAGCCGTCGTAGATATCACTACAATACCACGGGATCTTCCTTTTGATGTCCAGCCACATTCCTCCTCCGAACCTTTGGAAACAAGGTTGAGTACATAGTTAGGACGACAGAACCAGGATGTAACTGGACCCTGTGTGATATGATACAGTCCTCTCGTACCTCCCAGTGAATTTCAGCTCCTCTCCAAGCTCATGTGGAGCTGGAAGCTCTTCGTCTTCTCCTCCAGCTGCACCGCCGGCCGAGCCGTTCATTTGACCCAGCTCATTCAGGTTCAGCACGGACTTTCTGCGGGGAACGTGAGAACAGACGAAGGCATCAGGGACAGAAGACCATTCACTCACTAATCCTACCACCTGTGCACACCTATGTAAGTGTGTCTAACCCCTCTCTCCTGTTTGACTCAGTTCTCACAATGCTCCCCAAACCCAGTTCTTCTCAGAATATTTTCATAGAATATTAGAATTTTAGAATATTAGAATATTTCTCTAACTTGGTTCGACCCGAGTTAAGATAATAGGAAAATGGGCAACTGTTGTTATTTTGGAATGTTCAAATGTCTTTTTTAATAAAAAGAATGCATGTTGAATACATTTGATGTGATTTATTGTTTTGTTTTTGTTTTTTATCGTAGTATTGAACTGGTATTGAGAATTATGGAAGTTCACTGGTATTGTCTACTAAAGCTATACATATTGTGACATCCCTAGTAGAAACCAAAAATTGGACTTCATCCAGGGGCCAAATGAATGATTTTGTTGCTCTGTAAATGCTGGATGTGTAAATAAATATCAACTTAAAAGGTGATAATATGTCGATGATGTGTTTACAGCTTGTTTTTGCTTCCCCCAAGTGGCCATAAAAGGATGATTAAGTGTGGTTAAATGTACATGCCTCATATCTGCCGATGGAACCTTCTTTGGAGGTTCGATGCGTATTTTCGGGTCCCATTCCCCTGGAGGAAGGACAATGACCTCATCCAGAAACTCATCCACACCCGCAATCAGGTCGTCACGGTCTCTGGCTTTGTAGGCGACATCACTGAACAGCTGACAGGAAGTAAAGAAACAAAATCAACGCGACAAATGCAATGTGTGTATGAGAGTAATCTATCAGAGCGGGACTGCGGCAGTCACTTACTTCATCCACCATGAGCGTCGCGATAGCTCTGCCAATCTCATTGTAGGACTTGGTTTTGCCGTGAGGACCGAGCAAGATGAAGAGAAACCTATCAGAGCAGAAGGTCATGAGGTGGATAAACGCACAGACACACAGAGAGAGATAAACAGGGAGACATAAGAGACACCCACCTCGTCGGCACAGGGACCTCGGTGAGGCCTCCGAGAGTCGTGGCCTGAGCCAGACGCACAAAAGAGACGAAGGGTTTATCCAGAAAATCCACCTCGCCAATCAGGACGTTGGATGCTTCGGCATCTCGAGGAATCTTCTTCATGAACTTATTCTTCAGCTGGCAGAGGAGAGAGGCAGCAGGAGGGAGAGTGTGAGGAGAAATCACATATTTGAGGCATGTTGCACTGCAGATAACCTTTCCCAGCTGCTTAAGTCCGACATGATCAGCTGGTATTTACTGTGTGTTGGAGACTAATCAGATCCTGTGAGCTGGTGCGTAGTTTCAGCAGTTGACTCAAAACAACATATATGGTCGGATTTTTTCACAACTACTCAACAACAAAAGCCACAACCAGAGTGAGATATGCTTTTAAACCTGGACAGATGTGCTGTCAGTTACACATCAGGTCTTCCTCGGTCAATCCTTTGTTCCACCACTTCCACACTGAAATGTCTTGACTAATATTGGATAAATCGACACAAAATTTGCTGCAAACATTAGAGATCCCCAGAGGATGAATCCTAATACTTTGGTTGTTCTCTAAATGTTCATCTAGAGCTACCAGAATAAAACATCTTCACATATCCAGTAAAATATGTCAACATCTACTGGATGGATTGACACAAAATCCCAATATGATGATCAAAAAACAAACTTCTGACTTCAGCTTTTATCCACCTTACAGTTTGGTTTCCTTTACAACTAGTATCACAGCCTCAGAGAGCTGTTAGCTCTGTTACAGTGTACGCAGATATAAATCTGATTGAAATCCTGGAGTTACATACAGTATAAAAATCACACAACACCGTGATGCAGCTCTTTTGGTGCACCCCTCCTACTCCTCCTCCTGCTAACCGAGGAAGCACGTGGCAGTGGAGTGGTGGGTGCTTAAATTCAAATCTCTTCATAATCTGTTAATGCTGCTTTCGGAGTCAATTCACCAACTGGTCCTCTTTCACTCTCTCCTAACTTCTTGGTCCCAAGCAGCATAAACAAGACATGTCAAATCTCACACGCTCGCAACTAATTTAAGAATGATCTACTCACTCACTCGCTCTGAGTGTTAGTGTCCATCTGCAGCTATTGTGCAGCGAGTTTAGCAGTTTCATGCTCCTCCGGTAGACTACATGTTATGAAGTCATGTATTTTTACTGCATGAGTGTGCATATTGGTCGGATCAAAGAAAGCTGGAGGTGCCATGCCAGCTTCTGTGAACAAATAATTAAACCACACTCAAGGGGTCACATGCATGAGTTCATTTCTCGCTCGCTTTGAAGTTCTTGTCAAGATATTTACCCGAATAACAAAACCACACACACACACACACACACACATATACAACACACACACCAAATTACTGCAGCTGGTTAACAGAGACTGAATGTGTTATGTTCTTCATTGTCGTACTTTTTTTGGGGGGAGAGCAATTAAAGCTCAGAGGAAGAAGCTTAAAAATCTGCACTCAATCATAAGTACAAACACACATGCAGGTACACGCACAAACACAATTGAACAAATTCCCACCTCAGCTACCAGGCTGCGTGGATTAGAGGGATTAAGCAGTTGTGACGACTCTGTATACCTTCTCATAAAACAAGGCTCAATTTTTCATAAAACACAAACACAGCAACGTGCCATCTGCTAACTGTGTGCTGGGCTGAAATAATGCATCGCTGTTTCCCCGCAGGCAACAGGAGATTAGCTGATTACAAATCAATAACAGCTCGGAGAGTGACAGTGTGCATGTGCAGATATTAAAGGGGCACTCCACCAGTTTCACCAGTTTCACACACAAAGGTCACAACTTCTCAAGTCTGAGGAAATAACCCTGATAATGTCATAGTGATGTCGTTAACTTGGGTTTGGAAACTACACATTTTTAGGAAGGAAAACGAGCTATAAAGTTTCAACTGTCTGAGCCAATGGGATTGAGTTCTGTATGGAGTAAACTTTTACTTTTTTTTGTTTCTCAACAATTTTTAGGTGAGAAATAAACTCTACTAAACTAAAAACTTACAAACTTTAGTGTAAGTTTAGTGACAATGTACAAATACTACTGGCCCTGCATTTCAGGGTGTTACTTCGGGAGCAGCCTGGGGTTCAGTGTCTTGTGTCAGTGACATGTGAACAGCAGGAGCTGGGGATCGAACCAGCAACTCTGTGATTAATGGATGAGACTGACAGTTTCTCTCCATTTAATGTGTGAAGCACTTTGTGTTCAAATGAAACTATACATTTGTGAGGTGTTTTTAAAGATGTACCTCTTCAAAAGGAAAAAATGGGATTATCAGTATAGTATATAAATACAGACTAGTTCATGCCGAACCCACAAAGCACCCACATTCACACACAAACACATGAAATATTGAACATAACAGTTACCTGGTCTGTGCTCGGTGTGTCTGAAATATCATTCATGCTCCGGCTCTGGGAGGGATCTGTAAATAAACCACACACATTTATTTGATATTTGTAAAACACTGAAAGAAACACAATTCAGTGTTTGTGTTGTGTCTCAGTGGAACTTTATTCGGTAATAGCTGAGTAAAGATGAAAATTGCTGCCAAATAACGGGTTATAGGAGCAACAGAGTGGCATTCAAGTACGTCCACACTGTGTGCTGGAACTTTAGGTTCTGTGGGGATTATTTTTTTTAATGACTAATTTCCCCTTTTTCTCCTCAAAGCAGATTTGGGAAAAGAATAAATTGGACAAAGAGAGAACAAGAACACGCAGAGCCCGCCCCTCCAAAAAAAAATCTGTTCATAATCCTCTTCACCCAGATAGATTCACAAGAGAAATTAGCCGAAGGTGCACACAATAGGACCAAAACCTGTACCGCACACACTGTATGTCCGACACACTGTGTTCATGGTGAGTATTTATGCACACAAAGCCATCTCGAGTGTGAGCGGGGAGTTAGCTGGGGTCAGTGTTGATTTAAAACATGAAGCAGAGAAGTTAAAGGGTTAGTTTGGATCTTTTGAAGTGGGATTGCATGAAATAGATCTGATGGTTTTCTCTGATGTAGCTTTTTAATGGTGAAATGTTCAATAATTTGAATTTAAATGAAACCATGTGAGACGTTTAGAGGGGAAATGTCTCTTCGGTGAGAGCTGATAACATCATCTAAAATGTGATAATGATCCTCAACAGGTCACAAACCAAAGAGATTATGAATGTGTTGTTTTTTATAAACTCATTATATGTTTCGCTCATGTGAAATCTTAATCTGAAAAATAACCAAAAACTAAATCTGTATAGCAGTGGCATAAAAGGGAAATACAGTACTTGAGTAAAGGTAGGTGTAGTTAGCAGTGAACTGTTGGTGCATGAATATGTGTGTGTGTGTGTGTGTGTGTGTGTGTGTTTAGACTCACGCAGGCGGCCAAGGCTGCTTGCCTGCCGAGAGCGTAGGTCTTCTGTGGAGCAGTGGATCCCGGAAGCTGTACTAGTACTACGGTTCAGATTAGCCTGAGGACTACGGTCTGAGGGCGGCAGCGGCAGAAGATGTGTAAGAGGTGATTTTATGAGGAAAAGGTGAGACAACATGGCAGAAAACAAAGGAAGCAATTAGGATGTAATCAGAAGGTTAGATTAGGTGATTGCTGATTGGTTGATGAAAATGCGTAGAAGACGGCGCACAGACTCACTGGAAGCAGCGTTGGAGGACTTTCCGATGTCTGCCAGCGAGCGGTGGATGGGTTTCTTGGTCTGGTGACGGTGCTTCCGCAGCAACACAAAGCTGATCTTCTCCTTTAGATCCGGAGCAATGAGACCATCTGCTATCTGCCGATCCACGATGTCGTCTGGAGCAGAAGTTTACGGCCCAGTTGAATTCACATGAACAATAACGACGATGAACAGAATCAACTTAAATATTAGTGACACTTTTGCTTGATTTATTTTTGAAAACATTGTTAGTTGCATGTAGAGATTTCTGTTTTGAAATCTGTTCTCTGGTGAGTTCAAGGACATTCAGGTTTGAAGTATTTTGGAATATACTGACACTCCTGGGTGTGTTTATAATTTATAATAAATTTAATAAAATCTGTATTCCACAGCTGAAAAGACATGAAATGAATTGCAGACAGTCCAAAAAGTTCTCATAAAGAATAACTGATAAATAATATATAATAATATAATAAATAATATGTTATATTTTCAAATGAATACCAATTTCCCATATACTAACTACAACAGCAGGGTTCTATGACATCTTGTCTGCAGTATCTGTTGTATGTATTTAAAATTGGGACACAGCTTTGTTGCTTGTGTTCAGCGTTCATCACTGCAGAGCTTTCACGCAGCTACTATCAATTCTCCAATTTTGGTGCCTCCTTTAAAGAAAGTTTGTACGCTCAGATTTTAAGTGTCTGCAAGTTCTCGAAACTATCTAGTTTAGTTCTGATGTAGAGGAACATCAGTGGAGCCAGTCTGCTGGACTCACCCACGATCTGTGGCAGTGAGTAGCCCTCCAGGTCAAGCAGGATGCTTCCCGTCTGCAGGCAGGTCCGGAGCTCAAACAGGCTGTGGAGGGTCAGCGTGGACACATGAGGCTTGCTCCATCTTTCTCCTCCTTCCTCCACCTTCTCCTCAAACTTCACCCACCTACAGAGGCAGGGGGAAAGGAAATGGTTTGGCTTTTAAATTCAGTCAGTGAAGTGATATGTTTTACTTTAGCAATACATTATGAATACTAACGAATACTACACTACAAAAACTGCCATTCTATAAACAGAAGCATTCTTATTCTTTATCATTTTTTATTAAAACAATGAAAAACAAAACAGCTGCTTCATTTCCAACACTGGGACCAGATGACTTTCTCTTACACTGAGAAGTTGTGTGAGTGCTCTTACTCTGAAGATCAGGACAATAATCTGGTTCTTCTGCTGGGGTATTATACAACCATTGTTGTTACTGGTTAAATCTACCTCAATATTAGCTGTAATATCTTATATTAGAGATATATTCTCTTAAAACATGATCACTTTTCTAATGTAAAACATGGTTGACAAAATTATTTTTTGTAGTGTATGCTCAAAATGTAGGGAAAATATACCCAAGTATACTTACTGGAGGCATTTGAGACCCCTTTAGGACACTTTTCATGTACTGAAAGTAAGCACACTATACTTATCCAAAGTGCACTAAAATTATACTTCTGGATGCTATATACATCTTCTGGCTTTGGAATTCAGTCAATAAAGTGGTTATTTGACAGTTTAGCCAACCAGCAGGGGATTGCTATGTAATTTAAGCTTTAATCCAGCGGTGACCCCCCCTCCCTTCAGACAGCAAAAAAAGTTCACAACAACCACCCCACAATTTTAACCAATGAATGACAGAGGAAGCAACTAATACAAAGTAGAATTTTAGTGAAATAGAGGTCAGACAGCATCAGCAAACCTTTCCCTGCACAAATCCAATGAATTCAACTTAGTTAGCATCCAGTTAGAACCACTGCTTTAGTCACATGCAGTGTTAAAGTCCTGTCACCGTAATGTCTCAACCCTCAACCTTTAAATCCTATCAAAAGTGACCCCAAATCCTAAACTAATGAAAGCTCTGACCCTCTGACACCTGTATGTACCTCGCAGACTCTTTCCACTCTAATTCTCCCCCCTCGTGCTGCAGTGTGTCCATCTCGGTGAATATCGTGGGCGTCGGGGTGCTGTCCTCATCCAGTATGTGGCGCAGACGCTCCGCTGCAGGGGATACTACCAGACGGAGGAGAAACACAAAAACAGTTTCAGATTTACATTAAAGTCACACATGTACAACGATAAAGGCTACAACAGTCACGCTAATCTGGGATTCAGGAATTGTGGCAACTTTATGAGACATAAGTTTTGTCCAGGTCAACATGAAATTAAGTCTACATTGTACTGTACTAAATTATATGCTCAAAATCTGTGAAAAAATATACCCAAGTAAACTTTCAGGAGGAATTTTTAACTATTTTACAACTTTTTATCTACTAAAAGTAGGCAAACTTGGTTTGTACCCTAGTATACTACACCAAGGTCTACAATTATTCTTCTTCGAATTCTCTTCTGTATAAAAAACATTCTACAAAAACATCTCAACACATGTTCATATACCCAGACAAGGGGATCTTAAATCAACCATCTCTGCATGTGACTTCATACATGTGAATTTCATGGAATAAATATATAGATTATTAAATTTTTCATAACTTTATTATACAGTTTACAGCAGAGAAAAAAAACAAATTGTTAGTGAGAGACTTGGGGATTACATCTGACAGACGTCCTTTGTTGAATTAAATCCCACAACATTACAAATTAGACAAAATGTGTGTTAGAGCCCACCGGAAAATCCGAAACAGCCACGATTCTAAACAACCACCATTACCCTTCTTTAATGAGCGGACAAAAGTTGAGCTCCTCTAATGACTATCTGATATCTGATCAGCCAACACCTTTTTCTAATTTTACCCTGAGCGGATCAATCCCCATTAACATCCAGCCCGCAGGCGCTGTTCGCTCGCACTGTGTGTGTCTATCAGCACGAGAATGTGTATGTGTGTCTTTGCTCTCCCGTCACTCAATTTGTTCCTCTTTGTGATCCAAAAGCTAAAAAAAAAGTGTCATGTGACAGTGACAATCAACACCTCCATGCAGACGGAACAATTATGTAATCTCTGTTAACTACATACTGCTGTATAATTATAATACAATACAATGTTCCAGCATGAGCTCAACAGGCATCAGTTTCCATTACTACCTCTGCTCTGTCACTTTAGGTCAGGTCACATTAGGAGGTCTGCTCATGTCGGTAGTTTGTGTACTTATGCGTGTCTGATCTTAGACCAGCCAATGTAATCCCACAGGAGGGGATCATGATGTTTGCACAGTTTCAGATCGTTTGTGGGTCATTGCTAAAACACAAAGGCACACACTCAGCTACTTTAACTTCTTAATTACCTGCTCGTATTACATAAAGCTCCACTCATCAAATGACTGTGTGTGATGTGAAAGGCTCGTAAGGACGAACTCATTCAATAATTATAACCTAACTCTGCAGTTCACTGTAAAACCAGACAACACGTCTTAATAAAATAAGTTAACCTAAATTAAATTAATTAAACTCAATTGTTGAAGCAACTCAGTTGTTTTGAGTTAACTTTAATTTGTACAGTATTTTAAGTGTTCGTGATATAATTCTGATTTGTTCCACTGACTAATTTTCTTGACTTTATATCATTATAACAGTATTACATTATAATGCTGTTTATTAATCATCATAAATATGCATCCAAATAATTCTTAATGATCCCAAAGTGTAAAGATTTGATGTTTGTCACATAAAAAAACAGAAAATTAATTGGCTACCATTTTGATAATCAACTAATTATAAATTGTTTATATCATCTGTCAACTGTTTTAACAGGTAATGTAATAATTTGCTTCAGTGCTTCAGAGTAAATTCAACATCTTTATAAAGAAGATGCATTTTAGTGACTTTATTCAGATAAATTCTGTTTCATTTTAGATAAGTTTGGAGAAATGGTGCATATATGAGTTTAACTTCAATTAACTGAATGGAATTAGTACAATTAACTTTTCACAAGGTAACTTAACAATAAATACTTGAGTTACTTTTACTCAAATCAAATATCTTTCATGCTTAAATTGTTTGCGTTAATAAACTTAAGGTTTAAGGCGTTCGGCTTCCTCAAACAGTTTGAGTTGAACTAACTCATCAGGTTTTACAGTGTTTCTGTGCATAATTTGAATTGGAGAGATGAAACATTAGGTCCTATTCAGTGGTGTGGAGCAGTGGTTCCAAACCTGGGGGACGGGAACTGCACTAGGGGTCGCCAAAGCATAACAGGGGGTCGCAAGCCTTCTTGTTTTTGAGTAACGTAAGAAAACTTTAAACATATACAAGTTTATCTCATCTTTCTACATTAAAAAAGGACAGAATTATAACAACCACAGAGCTAATAGAATAAACATGAAAACTGTATAGAAAGTTTCTAAAACTATTATGAAAACTCATCTCAATAAAAAGACCTTTAAGACCCTGTGGACACTGTGGCACAGATGATCCTAAACCTTTAATTCTTATTTATGTATTTTTAAATCTATACTGTAGTTTTGGAGATAATAGAAAGTAAAATGTATGTTCATTACTAACTGATAAACTGTTTCCCTTTGCTAACAAATAAATGTAAATGTAACCCTTCGTTTTCCAGCCTTTTATGCCGTCTTTACCTGTTTGGGAGCCAGGTAGGGTCCAGCGGGAGGCCATAATCGAGGGGAAAGACCCACCAGGGTCCTGCATGCTCTCTGGATCCTCTGACCAGAGGAAGTTAGACCCAGAGGTCACTGGAGAGAGATCCTTAGGGTTGTAAAAGAGACGCCTAGCTTCCTGTCCTCTTGTTGAGGTTGAAAGTCCTTAGCTCACCACCCCTCGCTCTCCACCACGAGTGGGGAGAAGAGACACACTTTTACTCCTTCTTCTCACTTCTCCTCACTTCTCACATACGTCCTTTCTGCTCGTTTCACAGCTTTGCTACTTCGACGCCAAGCTTTGTTATTTCAACTAGCCATGTATGATCGGTCGGTATAAGTGGTCGGACCTGCGCCGTTCGATCGGTCGGAAAAGGTCTTCTCTCTGAGCTGAAATCTCCAAAGCAGCACAGAGCCAGAATCTTTTAAGAGGGTTGACACACACCACAGGGCCCTCTAGTACTCTCCTCCCAGAAGTCCATGCACTCACATTCTCACATACCCACAAACACACACACACATACATGTACGCAAGAAATGCAACAGAACTTCTCTGATGAGCCCAACAGTCCTGCAGCAGAGCCTCTGTCGCTACCCACAGGCCTCGGCTGTTTGGTGTGAACACTGGTTATGAATCCTGATAAAACACAAAGCATACCACATACCAAACACTCACATTCATCCCCAAATAACACGCACACACACACATGCACACACAGCTTGGAGTTGCTCAGCTTTAATCAGCTTACAGGCTTCAGACTTCATGGCCCCTTGGGACCATGCTGCAAAACATTCATCACTTACATGCATGCACTAGTAGCTTCTACCTGATCACACACTCCTCACGCAGGTCCTCTGCTAACAGCACAGATCATACGCCTCTCACTGCGTGTACAATACGCTGGGCCGGGCTTTAAAAGCAGCACTTAGGTTGGATGTGTTTCTTTTCTTCACTGAAATTGAAAAGTATAAAGTTGCAGTAGGAAAGGTTTCAGGGTCGGTAACAAGGCTGATGCTCTCCATGCTAGCAGTTCTCTGAGGCTGAACTTAAAGCTATAACATGTAACTTTTCTGCCTAAAAAGATCTTTAAACTCTAGCTTTAGGTTCTATATGTAGTTGTGTTCTTCCATTATCCCAAATGTTTCCAACAATGTTCAAACTCAGAGAAATCTGTCATTTTATTCAGGTAACGCTGCGTTTCACCGGTCGCCTGCTCGGGATGGGCGTCATTATCCCCTTTCGTGCCTGCGTCAGCGTTGTTGCGTTGTCTGCCAGAAGCTGTCAACATTGACTGTTTATCCCAGTCTGAAGCCACATTCTTACCATCACCTGTTTAGATCTTTGGTGCCTTTTTAACTCTAGATTTGAACCGGCATGAAGGATTTTAGCTCAACGGGAGTCTGGATCTTAAGTTATCAGAGAAACAAGCTGAAGCCTACGTTCAGCAGCAGCTCGGCTTCGCAAGGCCCCCTCGGGACGCTCCTTTGTCTGTCCAACAGCGTGGGAGAAGGCAGTGATTTTTAAGTGGAAACCTGCTTTATTCAGGGTGTGTTTAGTGGTTTTAATCAAGCAGCGTCTGCTTGTTTGGAGAGGACGGAGACCTCTGCTGCGATAATTGGGCTCCCGCGTAGAAATTCTCCTGAACCATGAACACGAAGGAATCGGAGAAGCTGACTGCAATGACGCCAATGGTGGTGAAGACAACAACTCCCATGATCCCACACTGCTTAACCACCTGATCAGATAACCCCAGCTTTAAGAAAAGTGCTTCACAAGTTTTACAAGTTTTATTATTAAGCTGCTATTTAAATTTTGAGTTTAGGATGGCATTGTGAGACATGTAGCTTCTAACCTGAGAGGTTGGCGGGCTCGTGCTGCTCTGTGCTGCCCTCGTCATCGTCGTCGGGCTCCTCTCTGTCGTGGTAATATTCCCGGTGTGAGCGTTCACGGTGTGTGTGGTGGTCGTAGTGTGTGTGCCGGCTATCATGGTCGGCGTCACTGACACTGGAATGGTGTCTGCGCTTTTTCCGTCTGTGGGAAACTGGAACGCCGATGTAGACTGGCTGGGCCTCTGAGAGACAGACAGAGACAGAGAAAGAGGACATGTAAGAGCCGGATCAGTGCAGAGACAGCTCGTGGAGTGTCATTAAAGTCCTCATTAGTAAGCAGGTGTAGGAGAATTGTACAAAGCAGATGAATATAAATCTCTGTATGGCAGTAAAGCCTTTACAACTGAAGTGAACTGAACAATAAATTTGCATTAATGAGGAAAAGTTTGACATTTTGGGAAATAAGCACATACACTTTTTACAAAGACTGGAAACAAGATGGATAGAGTTATACATGCCACAGTTGTGCTTGTGTTTTTCTGAATTACAATCCTACACAACTCAACTTTACTGTTTTGGTTCAGTCTTCTCCAGCTGCAGCATGCAGCTGTTTTAATGAGATCAGCTCTGATAAACCAACTTTATGCTTCCTGTTTAGCATCAGACACAGTTAGCAGCTAGTTGGTGAACAAAGCAGAGTAAATAGAAACCAAAACCAGACCTAAAAGGAGAGTGATAACTGGATTGGATCACAAACATGACAAATAAATAATCATTTTGTTTGATGTAGAAGCAACTGTTTGCTAACACGTTCGCCATATCTACTTAATAAGTTGATAATATGTTTTGTCCTTGACGTTGTGCTTCAGTAGTGCATATTCTAATTTCCCCAAACAAAGTTTACAATCTAAAGCATATCTACGTACAGGAAGGAAGGAGGAAGGAGGAAGTTAACCGACTTGCTCAACTGCTATTGGAGCTCAGAGCAAAAAGGGACGGGACTTATGAAGGGTTGATTGCCACACAGGTAACCTGGGGCTTTTAGTGGAGCAGTTGCACACAGTTCTGTTCTTACCATCATCATCATCGTAGCGCCTGTGACCTCTACTTTTCCCTCGCTGCCAGTCTTGATGATCCATCCTGAAACAGACACACAGAAACGAGGTTTACTGAGTGAATATAGATGCTGGTGGAAAGAGACGAAACGAGATGATCACCACCCTCGTTCTCTCTTTGACTCTCCGTCAGCAAAAAAAAAGCTGAAATAAACTGTAACACATCAAACTTCAATGATTCATTCTGCGGTCAGGGAATCCTCCTGGCCTTACAGTGACTCTTACTGTACCATGTGAGTTGCCGGCTGCGCCACATGGCAACACATGTGCCACGGCAACCTCAAGAGATCAATGGATGACAAGAGGAAAACTCAATGGAAAACCCCCAGCAGCCCTTCAGGACCAGACCGCAGCTCAAACTGTGGAAACCAAAGGAAACAGCTGCTGTAGGAATTCCCAGCATTCCCACCAAACTGCTGCTGGGCTTCATGCTCCTGGGTTTGGTAAAAATATTCTTTAATAATAACTGTATGTGTGATAAATCGTATGATTTTATACTGTATTCACACACCAACCACAGAGGAAACGTTCATAAACATCTCCTGCAACGTTTTCTTTAAAAATGTTTATTCAGTTTTATCAAGAAAATTAAACATTAAAATAGACATACAAAATCTGTATGTAGTGTTACAACCATTTTTGTTCACAAGCAATACGAAGACTTATTATATTAGAATTGGTGATTGTTGTGTTGATTCTGGTGCCTCCTGTGGACAAAAGTAGTAGTGTTTCTACCGCTTGGTTTTATTTATTTAAAAGGGAATCCAAATCCACATTAAAGTGTAACTACACCCTTCAGTTCTGCTAGCTTCCTCCCTCTCAGCAATTTTAAAAAAAATGCATCAGAGACCTGCAGAGACTTTAGGGGGCGTGGCCTTACAGTCACTAGAAGCACATTCAGGGCTGTTTGTAAAAGTTTCTGTGTGCTACCTGTTTGCAGCTAAGCTAGCGTCTCAGAGAGGCTAACTCTCCGGTGTGTGTCTGTGCGGGGGCTTCTACAGTGTCACAATATAAACATACATTGTAGAGGGTTAGCAATAGTTAGCATAACCTTCTGTGAATGACTCCCACTCAAAGCAGAGGCTGAGAGAAGGCCGCCCTTCTCTGATTAGAGGGCGTTAACAGTTTTTTTATATAAATGTTGTGAAGTAAAGTAGTCCCAAACAGTCGACTCTATCTCAGCATTTGTTTTAAAACGTACATGGGGATTTAAAACCGTAGAGGGCGTGTTGAGACATTTTTAACCCACAAAATGCAGATTTTCATACATTTGGTAATAATGTCAAAACCAGCATTTATTTGTTTCATCCCAGTATAGTTATCTAATTTAGTTTACAGCTCAAAAAACCCATTTTAGGAGGGGGGAGTACCTCTTTAAAATAACTACATAGAAACAGCCAGAGCGGTCTTCTTTGTTTATGTAGGTCATATAGAGGCATCAGGATTAAACTGTTTAACTGTTTTTCTCAAGTTATTTAAAGTCAGAGTTGAGTTTGATCAGATTATTAAACTGCCATTGACTCATATCAGTTCATCCCACCATACCTTTGCCCCTTTACAAGCAATATTAAGAGTCTCTAATGAGGTTAATCACAAGTTTTGTGGAGCTCTAACAGATATATCAAAGCTCATTCTCATCTACAGGAAAACAGGAGAACATTAAAATTCTGTTCTTGGATGACATAAGATTTTCAAGGACATTTAATTTTTTTCTTTAATTTGTTTTCCATGCCAGAAAAACTATTTTCCAGGTTATCCAGGATGCGTGGGAACCCTGCCATCCCTATTAGTTATCACACTTATTATAAAGTGGCAGCTGAGGTGGTAACGAGAGTAATTTCCCTGCTTCCACAGTTCCCTCAGGGAAGAGTTAAGTATGAATGTGAGAGATATAAGGTCATCAATGTGATTTAAATTATATTATATCTGTTTCTCTGCTCCACTGACACTCGGACACACTCATGTAAATGTCATCAGTACATGCTGAACTGATCACTGAGCGTTGACGTAGGTTTCTCTTCCTAAAGCTGATTTGGGGGAGTTTTCTAGGCTGATCAATAGATGTCATTTCTAATTGCTTACTAGTCCCTGAAGCCTGATCACTGACTGTGAAGGACAGTCACATGAGTGCAGTCATGCACACACACTCAGGGAGCACAACCACACGCACACACACACACACACACACACACACACATACAGAGTAATGAGGAGCATTCTCAGCACACGGTTGTACAGGAACATTTTTGTCCGGTTTCAGGACGAGTGAAACCTTCGGTGCGTGTTTGGTCCGTCGGGTAAACGCTGTCCTCTCAAAAAGACTTTTATTACAGTTCTATAACTTTTAAAATTCTGATTAAAATAAGAAAAATCAAATAATAACTGCACTCTGCTATAAATTTAAGCCTGAATATCTGTATTAGAGCAGTGTTTGCCTGTATTTATAGGCAATTTCATTGTTTTTACATGTGTAAATATCTTTAATTAAACATTAAAAAGCCAGACAATTAAACAATATTTTATGTAAACTTTTTAGTAATTATAGAAAATTCCTCTATTTTACGAGTCAGATCTTTTCTGTTATTTTACAGTATTTTTTTGGTGCCCCAGCTGCTGGAATATTACCCTTTTTTTTTTGCAATTTTGTTTTTACGGTGCAGAAAACCCCCAAGAGACTCTGCATAGGCACACACAGTCAGAGCCTTCCTCTGCATGACACACTGTTGCGTGGAGGTAAGTGTCTTATATTGCTGGATAAACTACAACAAGGGTAAACCTGTATAGTTGTCTGTGCTGAGCCCGACTATGCCCCGTGGGTACCGGCTCAGGCAACAGACAGAGGGACCAGCAATACTTGTTCACAGCAGAAGGGGAACAGGCAATCGATCTCAGCCCGGCCCCCCTCGGCTTATGAGTTTGCCTCGGGAAGAGGCCAACATCCTCTCGTCAATAAAATGTTAAGAGATGCAAACAAAATGAGCAAAATTTCGCTTTATGACGCGACAATCTCACACAAAATATCCAAGAATCTAAAGAAAGATAGATCCAAGTTGGTGATAGAGAATGACAGTACAGCAGACGGTTACAATGAATAACCAGATGGATTTTAAATGACGACTCTGCACAGTTAATTTCAGTCTCTTCCTTCTGGATGGAGGTTTATAGTCCCAACATATAGAACAAAGCGGTATAAAATCATTGAGATTAACAAGTTGTAGTCTTTCTTGTTTTTATCTGCATTTATTCTACTGGTTATTTATTTAGTAGTTTCTAATTGATCTTTGTAAGTCCTGATTTTTAGAGCCTGAAGAACTTTTACTTTCATATTTTATTCTTTATCATGTTGATATTATGTTTGTCTGTTGTCTGAGTTGTTTGTTTTGTTTTTGTCAAGAGGAATGCCTTATCATCTTTTACTGCAAACTAAATCTACCTCTGGGTACAAATAAAGTAACCTTGAACCTTGCTAGTATACAGACAGATACACTCCATATGCAGAAGATTATAGACTGGATCTTTGACAGAGTTCATTAATATAATGATGTGATATAATGTGAATGATATAACATGATATGATACACAGATCCATAAACTTGTATACCGCTGGGTATTTCCGGATACAGGTCCTATTTCTCCAGCATGTGCTATTGATTTATAAAAGTCAACTTTTAAACATGTAACACATTTTCTTAACTAGACATTTAGCCAAATGAAATACTGTTTTTCTAATAAAATGACCTTATGTAAGCAGGTGGATGGCAGTACATATTTGTGACATACTGAAAGTATATAAACATATAACAGAAAGAAGGTAGTGCATAATGAAAGTAAATTCCAATTCTCGCCAGCCATTTAAAAACCCTGACGTAATCTCACAGGCTTGTTTTCCTACAGTGGAATATTTATCACCAAAACAATCTAAAAATCTGTTAATAAAACGTATTTATTTGAAGCTTGCAACTTTCCTAAACTGGAGGAAGCTGGAGAGAGACAAATCTGTTACTATACTGCTGCTCAATCCATCCCGACATGTCATCCAACCTTTATATTCAATCTGATTCAGTTCTTCAAGTCAACATCAAAACAAGGATAAAATAGAAACAGACAAAGCAACGTCAAACCTGTAATGTAATAAAAAGTGTTTCTCTTACCTGAGGTGAAAGATGAAGCTGAGACAACTAAAATCGAGAAGCTACCGAAGTATTTTATATAAGTAAAGAACGTTAACAAAGAACAAAAACAGAATAACAGAGTTCAACAATGTTAATCTATAGAGCAAAATGCTGCAACAAACTGCTCTCAGTGACTGTATAGACAATCTGAGTATCGGGTCCTGGATGAGGCTGGACTGTGTGTGTGTGTGTGTGTGTGTGTGTGTGTGTTGGGGGGTTGGGTGTGTGTGGCGTAACAGTGTGTAGAGTAAGTTCATTCTGTGGAGCATCCATTCATAATTTCATATTCTGAGTAACCAGCAGAAGTGGAAGGTGACAAAGTACATTCACTCCAGTTCTGTACTTAAAGTATATATATATATTCAGTATATACATACAGTATACACACACGCACACACACACACACATATATATATATATATATATGCATTCAGTGTTGGATGATTTGTTGACATTAAAGAAATATAGAATATTACCAGAGTTGTCCTTTAATTACATTAATTACCCACAAACTCAACTCACATTTGATGAGTGAATCCACATTCACACGCTAACCACATGGTGGCGCTGTGCTAAAACATGGCATCACTCTCTAACCACCTCACTGTAGCAGACTCCCAGTTAAACTGTGGCAGCATGTGTCACCACTAGATGGTGACAGATGGAAAAAGACTGGTTTCCTTTTAAGTGGACGGAGCAGTAGATGATTACTGGGGGAGCTGCCCACCCAGTAAAACCCTGCGTAGATGTTGTTAATAATCCTCTTATCACTCTAGACAGCAGAATAAATTAGATGCATGAATCACTTTGTGCGATCTGCTGCACAAAGATGAAAACAATCCAGGAATCTAA